AACACCCATTTTTTTTATTTAACACCAACCAGTGTTTAATATTCAACAATTCTTGGCGTCACATAAACATAAAATAGTGTTAGTGTTAAAATATAGTGTTAAAAGTAACACCAGCCAGTGTTCAATACTCAACAATACTGGGTGTCACATTAACATTTCAACAGTGTTAAAATATAGTGTTAAAATTAACACCAGAGTGTTATTATTAACAAAGGAAATTATGGTGTTAAAAAGGTTAACAAACAACACATGGTGTCAATGCACCATTAACGTGAGAGTAAATTTAATACTCAGACTTAATATCAAACTTTTTGTAGTGTTGCATTAACACTGCTCAGTAGTTAGTAGAAAAATATAATGGAGTCACTCCTCACACACCAGGACAAACCTCTCACTCAGGGTGTCAATTTTTGCCCAATAACACAAGCTTAAACTTGAACAACTTGATCAAACTGAACAAGAAAACTAACCAGAACAACAATTTTTTTACTCTCATGGGCTTCTTTAATGGTCACAAACATGCAAACACATATTTTCTACAAGATTACCCAGCATTCCTTGCTGAGAAAATACTGATTTGGCTGACACGAGGTGGAAGAGGGCGGGGCGTTTCAGAGTACTTCTTTCAACACTGCATGGTGATATATAACAACACTGTTTAGTGTTATATAAGACTTAACTGTGGGCGGAGCTTATTTAACACTGTCCAGTGTTGAGACAACACTGAGGAAATCAACACTGTGAATTAACACCAACACTGGGTATCAGTTTTCTTAGAAAGTGTTAAAATAACACTATGGGGTGTTAAATCAACACCCAAAAGTTTAACACTGAAATTTTAGAACTCCTGTTTTTGCTGTTTAAATTGTCCCTGCAGGTGTGAGTGAGAGGGGGAGTGATCGTCCTGTGACAGAAACTGATGGAGACAACTGTTTCAACCAAAGAAGTAAAGATAAGAGACTGATGATGTCAGAGTAAAGGGGGTGAAATACACGCTGCACTTTTCAGACTTGTAAAAACATTTTTGAAACCTGAGCATCATTTTTACACCACTGTGTGTTGCTCTAACACATGAAAACCCTAAAAAATGTTTTAGTTTGTTGTTGTAAAAAGACTAAATCTGAAAAGCACAAGACTTGTGAACAGGTCAGAAGGCATCAGTGACTAATTTAAGCTCTGAGCAGCAGCTTTTATATGTTCAGGCTCAAATACAGAAGCAGAGCTTTACTTTGAAAATCCATTGAAGCCTTAAAGAAAACGAATAGTCGGATTGCCTGGGTTTTATCCATTGAATTGAATATATATATATATTTTACCATATACTAACCATGAGAGGAACTACAGGATGGACTAAAAAAACACTAGAAAACAGTAAATGTTTCAGTGTTTACACCTTGAAGGGAAACTTCAAACTGTAACTTGGTTGCCCACATTCGTTGATGTCATCCAGAGTGGGTGGAACATTAAGCTATGACCACATGTTCACTGTCTCTTCCTCACAGGTGCATCGCGACTGGAAACACCAACTTTGGAGCAAACACAGAAACTGCCACAGAATCTATAAAAGAGAAGAGAGGGAACCACAACTTGATGTTTGAGTGTGATGAGGGTCGGTTATGTAACAAATGCACCAACAAAGATGGAAAGAGCCGAGGGAAAACTGGAAAGCAGTGAGGAGAGGGTCAGCGGCACGTGGAACATTTAGACAAATTACACACTTTGCTTACTTTGAAGTTGAAAAAAGAACAAGGGCCTTGTCCGCTCTGAAAGTGCGCTGTGGACCAGAGAGGCTCACTGCAGAGTTCGCTGGCCACAGACATCAGAGAAATGTTGGGCGGAGAATCAAAGCAGCAAAAACAAAACTTTTCTGCATGGTGGTTAGATTCTGTTTTGGGATCGTGTGCGAGCGAGTGGCTCTGCAATTATAGAACAAAAAGAGGGAAAAAATAGATGCCAGACTGAGAAAAGCCTCCTCACAACATCAAACAGYATACGATGCAAAATTCTGTCCTTTAATGTCTGAAATTTAAGGTTTTTATGGCAAAGGCCATTTCTGCTCTACAATCAATAAAACTTTACTCTCAAGAAACAAGACACCTGGATTTGCACACGTCAGCCTCACATATTTTACAAAACAAGCACATTTATCTGTTTTACATACAAAAAGTTATCAAATGTTTCKATTTCTTGCTGTTTTAAAACCTTTCAAATAAACACACTGATAACAAAACTAATAAAACACATCCACCAAGTGATTCAGTACAGTCACTCACCTAACAAGAAAAAGGTTCMAAATTAAAAACAAGTGCTCATGAAATGCTTTCTGCTTGAATATAAAATTTTATTTATTCAGTTTGTTTAAAACAACTGCCACCGGCCAAAGTGCTAAATAATGAACAGTAACAAGATAATACTGAATACAACCTAGAAAGCAAAATTTGTGCGAATCAACATTGAAATATGGGCATGATACTGAATTCATATTGAAATTATACAAAAAGAGGTCGGTGACTTACTTGTTGAAACAAATATAGCGTATCTGATACTATATCAATGTTGATTCAACATTGACTAGACATTGGCATTTCATTCAAATACAAAATCAATGAAAATATGATTACACATAAAATAAAATCATTTAAATATCAGAAAATATCCTATACTAGGATCTTTCACAGTTGTGTATACGGAGGACATCCTGTACTGGGATCTGTTACAGATGAAATCTCCCCGTATAACTCTGGAAACATTTAGGATATGTGGCAGATACGTAAACTTGCATACTGTTGGATCTCCTCAGATATTAGGCCTGTTTGTCCAATGTGTGTTTTGTTACTAGTTAGTCCCTCTCCTCTRCAGTATAAAGACTGTGGGACTCATAGACTCTGGATCCGTCTGACACAGACCTTTTCTCCACGTCCTCTTAGCTAACATAGCTAATACAAGCACGGTCAGTCAGTGGATGCTTCCTTTATTAAGATCCAACTCTGCAACCGTGTAACATAGTGTCAAACTTCACAGGTGGACTCATAGATCAACAATGTTTCCTATTAATTTAATAATTTTCACCATTTTTTGTTTCTTGCTGCTTTCTTCTGGTAGTTTCAATTTTTTTTAACTTTTAAGCTACTTTTTTTATACTATTTTCTGCAAATTTTAGCTAAATTTCTGCTCTGTTCAGTCYTTTTAGCTTTTTTCTTTGCTTTTGTTTTCCTACTTTTACCAAAAGTCAGCTGTTCACATTTATCCCACATTAMGCTATTGAACATTTTCAGCCTAATTTCAGCAGCTTTTAGCAAAATATCTTTAGTTTTAACCATTCACATTGCATTTTCATAGGAAATGCAAATCACTAGTTACTGTAGTTGTTTTTTTCTTTTATAGTTAACTGATAACAAATTATCCAGACAGAAAAAAAAACCCAAACATCTTCAGTCAATCATTTTTTAAAATGAAAAATCATGTCAGTCATTTTTAAAATAAAAAACATCTTTTTATATGAACCAAAGAATGAATGGAATGAATATACAGAAATATTTTTATTGTATAAATGATTTACAATATTTTACATATGACACATGTTTCAAGGCAGGGTGAAAGTTCTTTGGCACAGCTTATTGACAAAACAACAAGACACAAAGTCTTTGAATCTGCGTTCAGATTTAGTTTCCCTTTTTGGTTGATCTATTGTTGTAAACTGTCCATTAGGCACAAATGAATGCGCTTGTTTATTTGGTGAACAATGTTAACATACTGGTGAGTCTGAACAAAACCAACACATTCAGYCACAAAGAAACACTGACCTGTTTTCCTATAATAAACTGCCATTAATGATGGAGTCATTAGACATTTTGGCTCAAATTTGAACATGAAGGCACTTTCAGGTCAAAGCATGTTAGGATACAGAAAAACATAAAAAGAATAAACCTCTGTAATGCATAAGTATGTCATAATAAAGTGCACATCAAACATATTTGGTTTAATTCTTATTGCTCTCGAGTCTCGTATCAAGATATTTTTAGGAGGAAAGCCTGCAGATTCCAGACTCAGACCAGGTTTTCCAGTTTCTTGGTTGTTTCTTTTTGGCTCTGAGCTTCTACAGTTTTAAAGTGAAGAAGTCCGACAGTCCCGTTTGGTTTTTGCTGMGTTATGAGTCATGAAGATGTAGCCCCATCAGACCAGAGCAGGAGCTTCTGTGGAAACGGGCTTTACGTCTCGTCTCACTTCTTGTCGCTCATGGAGCTGTCCACAGCTATGATGCTCTGAATTTGACTGATTTTCACCTCCTCCACCGGGATGTCCACCGCGATTGGTCTCTTTAGCTCCTCCAGGATCTTTTCCGCTGAGGAGCTCCGGCTGGACAGTTTGTCGAGCTCATCCTCCAATTCAGCGAGACGCTCAGCGACGCAGTGGGCCGTGAGGCGGGCTTCAGGGTCATGGTCCCAACACTCCTTCATGGTGGCACAGATCACTGCAACTCCCTGCAGTGAAAGGAAATGAGGGCAGATTAGAGATTCAGGATAATTTATTTAATCCTTTTCATGTGACCTTACTGATTTTCACAAAAATATGGGAGATATTGCTTTTTACCTGTGTTTGTTTGGTGGTCTGCAAGCAAAAATACCACACAAATCACTTTGTCTGCCACAGCCCACTACACACATAAATGACCAGCCCTAGGATATTCAATTAGTTACCACCATTKCAAATTTTAGCTCAATATGTCTAAAAAGGACAGACTTATGGCCATTTATAAGTAGCTATGGCTGCCATCTTGTATGTTTGATTCAGTATGTGATGGGAATAGTTCTCAAATACCACCACACAAAATTAGCATAATATTTATAAAAAATGTTGCCACTAAAAATAATGCCACATATCCCAGGACCGAGCCGGRCATTTTGATGTAACATTTATGTGGGTACACTTTGTCGCTTGGTGTGCATTAAAGGCAAATAAAGAAAGCTATAAAGTATAGAGACTGTTTTCGAGGTGGAATAGGTGCCACAGTACAAAAGTATGGACTGCATTTCTTTATTCCTATGCTTTTGTAATGGCAGTCTCCATTCTAAACACCAGCAATGAATGGTTATTTATCTAATGAAGKCAGCAGACTGCGTCCTGATCTCCCATGCTAATCCATTTTGTTAAAGATGGCCGCCGCGGCTAATCCACCTTTYCCATCATCAAAATGTTTCTAGCTCCATAAATTTGACAGATGTTGAGCTAAAACTTGATGTTTTAGTAGCTGGGACATATTTACAACACATACTCTGACATGTTGCAGCATGGCCTGACTTGTTTTGAGAGCTGATTAATCAAGCAACATTTCTTTATAGAGCTCTTTTCAATAACCAAAAAGTGCACAAAGTTCTTCACAGAGCAAAAGTTAAAAACAAACCATAACAACAATACAAATGGCACCAGCACTGCCTAAACAAAAAAAAAGTAAAAAAACAACAACATTCAGATCAGTGATGGAGCACAAGTCCTAAGGAAGCAACAGTCTGAGTGCAGCGACCCAAATGGTTCGGTCCCCCTTATGTTTGTGTATATATATTAGGACTAACAGTGAGGAGGTATGAGTTGGTCTAAGGATCCTCTCATGGTCACAAAAACCTTCTAGATCAGATAAATAAGGTGAGGTCAGACCATTAGGAGCTTTAAAAGTGAAAAAAAAAAAGTCAAGAACTGAATGGAAACTAAAAGAAAATAAGATGGTTGTAATGAACAGATGGCTACAACTCTGACATTTCACAACCTAAATAATGTGAGTTTAAAACTGAGAAGCAGCCCATGATGTGAATAAGACCTTTGTATGATTTGTTAATAAAAAAAATGTTGCTGACCAGTTTATGTTTGAGTCTAATTGTTACTGCTGTGATACTTTATATTCTGTAAAAAAAAAATCCATGCTTCAGAGAAATGCTGCTTTATCTGTGGCTAGATTAAAGAMGTTTTATTTTTCTTCCACAAACATGTGAGCATTGAGTTCTGGAGGTATGGTGATCCACTTTGTGGCTGAAGCAGAAATAAATCTTTGAACCCGCTGGCTAAGGTCCAAGCAGTGACACAGTTGATGATCAGATTGTTAACCTCTGACGTTGAGGAAGTATGCCAGSCTGTTTACCTTCATGTAGGCGGAGCCTGATCGGACCTGAGGTCAGAACTGTTCACGCTCCAGACTAATGGAAACCAGAACATTTCTGCTGAAAATACATGCGGAAATGTTTATACAAATGGTGCCAGAAAAACTTTATATAATACAGGCTATCAAAATAGAGTGGATAATTTCCTAGAAATGAGTTTGTAATTGTGTGTGTGTGTTCACGCTTCAGGATTATCATGAAGACTCTACTGCTCTGTAACCTGTTTACAGCACCTTATATTGTGTGTTTCTTGCAGCGTGCGGCCTGTGTGCGTGTCTGACCTGGTGTCTGAGCCAGCTGTCGAGGATCTCCGGCCTCCCTCGATCTCGCAGCACGCTGTCCTTCATGCTCTCCACACAGGGGTGCTCTCGTTCTTTAGAGCCAAAAGCCGGCTCGTAGTCCTTCACCTCTGAAAGCCACAAACAAACGCAGCCGTCGGCTCAGGTCATGCTAAATCAAGTCACCCTTTCTAATTCGACCTTGATGTAAACGTGCACAATGACAGCTCAGATAAATAAAAACAATCGAAATAGAACAAAGAGTTAAAGCAGTGCAACAAGTGGTCCTTTGTGGTAACATGATGGYAAAAAAAAGTCAGCTGTATTGTAGTCATTTCCTTTCGAACCTACTGAGCTGGTATTTCCAAACAGATTTTATAGATTGGCACCATTATTGCTGACAGTGGGAAATAAAATGCAGTTTATGCTGCCAAACATGGGAAAAGATCTGTGCTGAAAAAAAKKKCAACAACCTTTACAGCTGCTTTCAGGTAATTAGTCACGCCACAGCACAAAAATTACAATCTATATGTTTTTCTAAGCTCTTTGTTGAAATGGACTAAAAGAAGGAAAGAAAGCTTCTGGCTGAAATAATAACATACTTGAAAACAAAGTTCCAGATCCGGACCTCATGAAATCAAACTCACAACAGCTGAAGGCTGTTTTAGGCACCGAGGAAAAGAACCTCACAGCTGCTGTGAAACAAGACACGTAAACTTATCTTTATTTACAAATGGAAGTCTGACAAATATGCACAAATATAAAAAAACATCACTCCTTGTGTGTCTCATTTTGTACCCAGAAGTGAAAATTTTGCTCCAGTTTGCACCTTCTGCATGTTTTCCTGCATTAATACAATCCTGCAGATATTTACGGGTGCATCATTATAAGCACCAGCTTCTCCTGTTGAAGCTCTGCTTTATTTATCAGTGAAATACGATCACTTATAATTACAGTAATGCGCTTCTTTTATTGGTTTTTTTCCCATGACAGAGATAAGCTTACATTAAATCATCTACATCAGGGCATGCAGGACTCAGTCATGGTGGATAAACTCTCAGGAACAGATGCTGCTTGTAGGAAATACAGTGAAAGCACAACTTGTGATTTCAAGAAAATCTTCTGATACACAAACGCTTGTTGAAGAAAAGAAAGTCATTTTTGGTTGTTTTTATATGTGTGTTTTGGGTCATTATCCTGCTGAATGAGGAATGAACCARGACTGAGACTTTCAGATTTCTTTCCAGAATGCCTTGATAGTCTTGAGATTTCATTATAACCTGCATAAATGTAACACACCCTGTGTTGCGTGCAGTAAATACTTAAATTTCTTCTGTCCTGATCCAGGATTAATCAGAAAACTTTTAGGTCTACAGCCTTGTCATCTGGTCTCCAAGTCAGTCTGTAGTCAATACTGTCTCATGTGGAGACATCATTACTCTCTTCAAGTCTTACCTAGTTTATTTAAATGAAATATTTCAGGAACTATCCTGTCTGTCCTCTAACAGCCGAGTGTCAGAAGTAAAACTAATTTAGTTTTTCCTCTACTGAAAGGGTCAGACAGCACAAAGTTAGAGTCATTTTAAACTGATTTAAAAATACCAGTTTAGACATGTAAAGTCTAACTTTCTATGATCTGTTTAAACTTTGAGCGATGTTTCTGTTCTAAACTGTGCCTGAGCTGTGGAGCTGCAGAAAAGGCTACTTTTTATCATTCGTTTTGCCAAAATCCCATTGCTGTTTTTGGAAAGTTTTTCTGCTTTTCATTGCAGTTTTTACTCATGTTGTACCATTTGCTGCTACCTAAAGTCAGAACACTATTTCCAGAAGAGCCACATGTTTTATTGTATTTTTTGTGAGGATTTTACCAAAGCTGTGAGAGAAGACGTAAATCTGAAAATGTGATGGAAACAATGAGCAAAGTAAGAGTGTTTCTATTTTTCTGAGTTGGTCCCCCTAATTAGATGTTAAATGTAATTTAGAAAACTCCCAGGAAATAAGAGTTATATTGTTCCATAAAAAGCGGCCTTGATCAGAGATTACAGATCTGTAACGCTGTTCTCTTAAACCCTTTTAGTTTCAGCTGGATTTGTATAAAATGATAAAGCCTTTCCCAGATTTCATCCGACAAGTCGGATCCCCACTGCTCTGTCCTCAGATAGGAAGTGAGGAAGTCGGGGCTGAATCCCCAGTCAGGAAGTCAGAGGCCCAGTTTTGGGACTATGTGCAGAAAAGCTGACTCTACAGGCTTACACTTCCTGTTCTGACATGTGGAACTTCCCTCATCTTCAGTCCCACCCTGGCTCAGCCCAGACCGCTACAGGTTAATTATTCTCCAGCTGATAATGTCCAGCAGGATTTGGCTGTTTAGATCTCGTGCAGCTGGTGGGTACAGACATGACAGAATAAAGAGATTTAAAAACAAATATTATA